ATTTTATATGCTTAACCAATCGGATCCTTTTCGTTGCAATTGTTGTGTGTTGCATTACATTTTTTATTCAGATGAAACGAGCTGTCAGAACAGGCCAAATGTTGATGTTATTTTGGAGGATGTGGCGCTTTAAATTATATGATAAATTAAAAACTTTAGATTCAAATCATCCAAATTAGATTTCAACAACAAGATGTTATAAAAAAAAAATGCGTGAGGAGCATAGTAACCTAGTTGTAGAAGGCATTCGCAACTATGCTGCCTGCACGGGAAGTTACAGACAATGTTGTCAAACAAGATGATGAATGGGAACTAACAACATATGGGATGACGCTTGTGGGGCAACGTAGGAGTGGGAGTCACAATTTGAGGACTTTATTTTTTTTTTGGCGAGCTCGGCTGTGCTTGGAAAGGTGATGACCATGAGACGCCAATTGAGGCCACCTTCGTTGTAAATGGTATGACGTGTCAAGGGCGTGTTATTAAGAGGATTATTTTTATTTTAGATTTCATGCATGTTAAAAATATTAGATCTGCTGAAATTAAATCAGGATAGTTGAACTTTGGGTTCCAAATAGAATGCTGTCTCTTAGGCTTGACATTTTTACATTTTGTTCAGAGCTCAGACTCTTCCCATACTATTGGGCTTCTATTTCCATCATTCTCCAACCCACCGTTCCTTCTGTCTCCCTGAAAGTTCTCTCTTTCTTATGATATAACCACGCATGTGAATCCTCATTGAAAAGGGTGTACATTTAGTGTTTGATGGTATCTCAAATAGCATTATTTTCAATAAGAGGATACTTGTGCGTACCAGAAACAAAAAACTATGCATGTTTAATGTGTTAATTATTTCAAAAATTGATATTCATTCCTTGAACACTTGATTGTTAGTGTAAGTTGATTCTTACTATGCCCGTGAAAATAGTTAAATGGATGATGCGCTCAAATAGAGAGGAGTGTTATTTGAATTTGAAATCGAAAACGAAAGTCCATCAGATTCTTTATTTGTTCTTTTTTTTTGGGGGGGTGTGTTTCGAGAATCCATGGAGTTCACAGGAGTTTAATTCACAGCAGTTACGTACACGCACAGTCACGATATTTCCAGCTGGGAGCAGCCTGGAACTCAGAAAACAGGTGCGATTCAATTTCTGCTGCTACGAAGATTGTGTGATTCTAAACGTTGAAGTAAGAGATTAATCATAAGCTTTAGAGAAGGAGAAAGAGTAAGAGAAAGGAGGAGGAGGATATAAAGGGAGATTGGAGTCCAAACTGGGAAGGGAGGAATAAAATAATTAAGAAGAGGAAGGAAGGAAGGAAGGAAGGAGGATGGGGATGGCAGCCACTAATCAATGAATCTCAATCTCACGTGCTCCTTCTAAAAAAGTGTGCCCTTCCTCCCTCAATACAACTCCTAATATGGTAAGCTGGGAGCAGACGCCACATTACTTATATATGTCGATGAACTCCAAAAGGAGGAATCTAAAACATTTGGGAGTGTGTTACCACAAACATCCGTCTCATCTCATGTAGGATTGGCTAGAGTAGTTGAGGACGTGGGGGACCAGCCTAGCTATACATGTTGTCTTACATCTCTTTCAGTATATGCTCCCCCCAACACACACACTCTTACAGGAACTTGGATTAACATGTTAATTAACTAAACTCGTGGTATTATCGTACTATGCAATTTATGGATCATACGTAGTCATCAGTGGTCAGCTATATGTTCATTAAAGCGTCATTTTGGAAGCATTAAAACGGCCGGATCGAAGCTGCTGAATTCACACACACACACAAATTAAATTTGACTTTTTCCTCTTTCCAAAGTCTAAATCATTAGCAAAGGAAATATAGAACAACTAATCTTCACTTATCAAGGGGGGGGGGGGGGAAAAGACCGCAGACATTTTTTTCCCCCCCCCCCCGGGGAAAACAGAACAAATGTATGTGTTTGGGGAGGGGGGTTGGTCAGTGGCAGTGCGCGTGATGTCTGGACGGGGGGAATGGGGAAATGGAAAATGCAACCCGCAGTATTCTTAATTACAATTTAAAAAAAAAAAAGGTGAGTTAGATCCAGGACTTATCAAGAACAAGACATACTTCCACAGACTCACTTACAAATCACTCAATAACAAGGTCATCATATCAGTAGTAGATTTAAACTCATAAACTTATAATTATGAGCTGACTCTTTAAGCCAACTAACTATCTTTATTACATCAAATCTATTTTCTTAAAAAATTTCTTTTTAAAAAACCCTTTTTTAAAAAATATATATATGGGCCCTATGTGGTTCGCAATTGTTTTGTTGCAGCTCTATCGCTGCAAAATTATATTAAATTATCATTGTAAACACACTTTTGGAAAATGTTAGTTGTTAGATACCTTATTTAAGGTTCATACAAAGTTTGCATAAATAAGAACAAAAAGACTGGCAATTTTAAATATTAAAGTTTAAAGGGCTCAAGTAATTAGTCTGCTAAGCAAATACTAAATAATATTTATATTTAAACGGAGTTGAATAACGAGTATCACATCCACCGGTTTTTAGAATTCTACGTTACCGTTTCGGATAAATATTAAAAATAACTTGTTACATGTTGAACTAATAAACAAACGAATTTGATATATATATATATATATATATATATTTATAACATCTCACAGTAAAAATCATTTGACAGAGGATGAGGGTGGTAGAGTACTATTCGATATATCTACATCACCTTAAGGAAATGTGACTAACCTTGCTGGCGGGGGCTTGGAATTCATTGACAGTTATCGAGAGTTTCACTTTGTAAATAACTCTTCTGACCCAGAGATTATTTAAGTAATCAAGGTAAAATTGTTTGCAAATTAATTCTGTGGGCTTGTACAAATAATTAACCTTATGGCAAAAATTTCAATTACATATAAGAATTATTAAATGAATTAGCTGATACACGGCTAATAATCATTGATAAGGTTAATCAATCATCCACGTGAAACAGTAATGACTAATGAGAATAAAAATTTGGAGACACGAAGATTCAGTGAAGGTCGGCTTTTTAAAAGAGAGGCAAGTAGCCGTATGTTGGTTCAAAAATGTCAGCCTTCCTTACTTTACTTTCACAAATAGAATTTATATGACAAAAAGGTAGACAACATAAGCCAAACAGAGTTAGATATGTTTCCAACCAGATGTACGTTCTTCTATATTTTATTAATAATTTATCAACGTCCTTTAACGTAATTCTCATTCCACCACCTCCTTTTCATCTTTTTCTGCCATCTTTTATCATCAGCTCACTCTAGCTTTAATAATTTGTTTTGTCTGTGCATTTTAAATGAACTATATATATTATCCCGCAAATTTCATAAGAATAACAGCAAAAATTCATGTCTTACTTCATAACGCATGGAATTAATTAAGAAAAACACAAAAGTAAATAAACAACATGGACAGGTTAATTAAGAAACACACTTAATATATATAAGATTGCTGGTGGGAATTCAGAGATAGGGAGATATATATGAGGAGTTCCATAGAGGTTATAAATACATACATATATGGATGAGGGGCTCTATTATATTTAGGTCACACGCATGATAGAATATTAAGGATATATATATATTATATATATATATATGAAGAATATCAAGGGAGCATCGGACAGGAAATTGGAGAAATTGAAGATATCTAGAGTGAGGTGGCCTTCCTTCTACTGGTAGCTGCTTCGGTTCATTTTCCTTCCTACGCTGCCTTTGAGACCTGAAATCCCAATTCAACAATCTTTAAATCTTTAGTTTTCCAATATATATCAACACTTTTTGGAATCGTTTAATTTCTACCCTAAGATGGATCCAATTAATAGCTGGGTTTTCACACATCTGTTTTCGAAATCAAATTAAACCAGAATATGCACTGAATCCTCTCATTTAATTAATATTTCTCAACGTTTTCCCTTTCCCTGTCTTCTTATGAATAACTTTAATATATATAAAATGTTTATTTAATTAATTTTCATAATTCAAATTAATAATCAGTATTTTCAACATAAAATTTTAAATCCTATCAAATTCACTGTTCGTAAGTCATAAATAGCACAATAAATGCGTTTACTCATAAAATAGTAGTACTTCACAAAAAATTATTTTTATACGCATCGTTACATTGGAATGGTTGGAGAGTGAGATTTGAATGGGGATTGATCAGATATTTTGTCAATGAATAATAACAATGGCCACAATATAATTACCAGAAAGTAGCTTTCACCGTCCGTCTGCAAATCCGGCATTAAGAAGCCAAACTCGTTGGTAGGAAGTGGAACTCCAGAAGAATGAACTAACATCACCTCTTCACCAAACATAGTTTTCATGTTTAGAGGTCCCCTCTGAATCTCTGTGGCAACCCCATTGATAAACAACCGTCATGCTCCCTGAAACATATGAAATTCAAATTAACTAGTATGTCAACTATATATATAAAATCAAACAAAACAAGGGTGATCTGATGAGTTCTGTCCTGCGAATATACTTGGCCAGACGTAGGCCTGTGACAAAGTAGTCAGGGAAACTTTTCTTATTCCTTTAACTTGGTCAACTTGCGTATACGACTGTTTGACCCAAAAAAAAATGTACATGTGACTATGAGAGAAGAAGTATACACGAAGCAGCATGAAATTTTCCGAAAAGGGGGAATTGGGGACAGCCTAACTAAAGACGAGAAAAGAGGAACTAGTTTCTATGAAACCCAAAAGCACAGCGGCAGCGAAACTGAAATGGGAAAGTTGCTTCATGTTATTCCGGGAAAGTACACCTGATCAGCTTTCATGTCAAATCATCACAAAGTCGCCGCTTTATTCTCCTGCATCCTTCAACCTAAGCAATCACCCGTCAAAGACAAGAACTTTGTACACTTGGATATAGTCATTTGGCTAATATTTTACCATATTACGAGCTGTAATTTTAACGATAAGGACAAGAGTGGAAAGATCTGACAATGCACATGCAATTAATTACCAGAAAGGAAGCAAATCAGAAGTAGTGTGATCGATTTCGGGGAAACCCATATTATGATCGGCGGAGAGAAAGAAAGCATGATGATCCATAGGTTCCTGGGAAGCGAGATAAGAGGAGGAGCAGCCGCCATTATAATCCGCCATGGCTGCAGAATCAGAGGCAGGGTTACTCTGATGATGGTGATCATAAGGAGGCGGACATGCACTTGCACCGCCATGAGGCTGAAGCTGGTGATCATTCGCCTGGGGATGAACGGCTTCGGCGGCGAGCTGCTGCAGCTGGCGCTGGCGGCGGCGGGATCTGGAGCGGCGGTTCTGGAACCAGTAGAAGACGTTGGCGTCGGCGACGGTGCCGAATTTCTCGAGAAGCTTTCTGATTCGGACGGTCTCGTCCTTGGAGGGATTGACGGTCCCACTGTTGAAGATGGACTCCAGAATTAGGATTTGCTCCGGCTTGGGAGTCCACCTTGACCTCACTGTCACCCTCTCACTTCTCTCCGAACCCTGATCCTCCATTAATTCCAATGTTGTACAAGCCTTAAGTTCTATGTGTTCTTCATCTGAAACCTAGGCACACATTATATAATATAATATCTACT